GGTTTGGGGAGTCTACAGATCATTACAATGTTGAAACGTGTCCTCAATTAGCCTACTGGTGTTTTTGTTCCCGTGGAAATCCTGCCGCGTGCAGCGAGTTCAGGCCAAAGACGCCTGGACTGAAACATGCGACTCTGACCAGAGTACATTTATGGAAAACAGAGCTGCCAGGAGCTAGGGATGGACCTGAACGAGTGCCAGCTATTTTCCATTACTAAATTGAAGAAAATATTTCATATCAATGGACTCTTCAGAGCTGCAAATACTGATAATTTTTTTTTCCCCCCACCACAAGTAACGTTTTTTCTTGTTGTGGTTTGAAAGATGCTGCACTTACACTGGCTGTTCACGTCAGTGCAACCACTGCTGTCTGATGTCCTTGAAAAAATCAGAGCACTTCACCCTTTTTTTAAATCCCAGAAGCTGCATGTGTTTGTTCTGAAGTATTTTGAGTGCACTGAGTTCAGGTACCCGAACGGGAAGTCACAAAGTATTGCAGCTTGAACAGAATCCAGATTTTCTTCACGTTAATTCCTTATTTCTGCTCGTTTATCGAATCTCCTTCGCTGTGAATTCCTGGTTTGCCTCGTCCCAGCAGTGCAGATGGAGTAGGAGGCAGCGCCAGCCCCCCTAGAGCCCCCCAGGAGCAGCCCCGTCCAGTGCAGGCAGTGTCAGGGCTCCACCCACGCCGGCACCGCTGCAGGTTGGAGGCCAGACTGGGAACCCCCCACTCACCCTGGAGCTTGTTAGTTTGTCCTTGTCCTGACTAACAAATGTCCTTTCCCCTCTCTCTAACGCTGCTGGGGCACAGAGGAGGTCCCTGAGCCCCCCACGTCCCAGGCTGCAGTCGGTGGTGTTTGGCACCGCGGGCTGTTGGAGCCTGGCCGAGCTGGGGCCGGGCTGTGTCGCACTGGAAATCTGTACGGATCTGTGGACTCCACTAGTTCCAAAGTGTCATTTGATGAGGCTGCTGATTTGACATTTAGCAGCAGCCATATGTGGACAGCGCTATAAATAATGTGCTTCTGGAAGCTGAATGGTGTAGCATTACTATTTGGCTTTTCTCTCTGGTCTTCATTGTGTCATCTGTAGTGAGCTCTAGGTTTTTGTTTTGGGAATCTTTTCAACCTCTTGTTTGCATGGGTTCACCCAGTAGCATCCGATCCTTGCTTATAGATTCCTCCATACACAGTGAGCACAGCTTACAATCCACTCAAGAGATGAATGGTTCCTGCCCGTGCCGGGCTGGGCAGTGGGGATACAATCCCTGGGGATCTCCTGGAAAACCTGTCAGGCAAAACCAGTGCTGTGGTTTATCCGTCGTGCAGCATCGCCCCACAGGCAGCACCAAAACCTTTGTGCTCTTCTTCAGGTGTTTTAATTTGAAGCAATTTCTTTTCCTGTTGGCCAGAACCTTTGTCAGAAATTTCTGCTGGGGATATCCCACTTAGGAATTGCTGATCCCTGTGGAAAGCAGCTGAGGGCACGGGATGGGGAATTGAGGAGCCCAGTTTGAGCCGGTGGAGCCGCTCCCTTTGGATGAGCTTTTGCCCCAGCTCCACGAGGGTTTCATGCAGTCAAGACCTTGCATTTCCTACACCCTTTAGAAAAGTTATGCTTTGGCATTAATGCTGAGTTCTCCATCTGTAAATAGAAATGATCGCTGGTGGTCAGCTCTGGAGAGGTGAGATAATGCTGGGGGAGGGGGTTGAGTTGTTCCAACCAGAGCTGCTCTCCCTGCGTGGAGCATCCACAGCCCCCACCCCACTGGGTGGTACAGGAGAGCCCCCTTGCTCACTCAGGCACCTCTTGGGACACCTGTTTTGGCTGCCTCAGTGATTTTTCTTGTGGCTGTAACACAGGGAGCTGCAGGATGGCAGAGGAAGGAAGTGAGCCCCCCTCAACTGTGCCAATCCTGTGCATCAGTGCAGCTCTTCTGTGGAGCTGCTGCAGCTGAGGCCGGTCTGTTCAAAAGCAGTGACAGCCCTTGACATGGACAGGAAGTTTGCTGTAAAACACCCATCTTTTCTATGTGAAAGAGGCTGTGCTTTTACAGAACTGTCACTAAAAATGCAGTTTAAATGAAGAAAGCTGCTGGCTGTTGTAGCATTCGCTGCTCCATGTCACATTTACCCCTGGCTACTCCCCAGGCTCTGCAGACTGGCCCCACATGGGAGCCCAGCAAGCCTGGCCTTCCATCATTTCATTTTTAGGGCAGCATTTGCACTGAAGAGCAGTTCTGTCAGTCTGTCAGTCTGCTGTGAGAGCCATTGGAAAAGGAGGGAGGAGGCTGAAATGAGCAGACAAATGACCAGGTCCCAGCTCAAATATGAATATTAAATTACTAGAGTTGTCCTCCCTATTCAGCGAAACAGAAGATGCTCCATTTCGATTCAGCAGGATTTAAAATTAGCTCCAGTGTATAAACAAACAAATGGAAAAAAATTGGGCTGGGGAAACCACCCCCTTCCTGGGAACTGAGACAGGACAATGTTCAGGCATAATTCCAATTTATGTCAAACAACTCGCGACCATCCTCTTGAGTGGTTCTGTAAAAGTGGTGCTAATGTGTATAACCCTTCTAAATTTTTCTTTTTCCCTTTAACATTTGTTTCCCCCTTCACTGTGTCAGTCACAACACACCGCTCTTGAATCTCCCAGCTGGTCTTGACTTGTTGAATTTATTTTATGCTTTCACTCTTCTTTAATAAATACATTACTTGCAAGCAGTGAATTGAAAACAAAGCAAAAGAAAAAAAAAAACTACCATTAGTGATTGGACAGTTTCTTACTTTGTGTTACATTTAACTGTTCTTTTGACAGCCCAGTTTTTAAAGCCAGGTTCGTATGGAAATGCTTTCACTCCACTTGCACTGCTTTTGGAATAGCGTTCTGCTTCATCTGTCTTTATTTTAGTGCATTCATAACACACACAGTCAGCACAATGTCTCATCTCCACTTGGCCAAGACGCAAAGTACTCCTTGTCCTTTGGATTTATTTATTTTTTTATTTGGTTGTTGGGTTTTTTTGGGGGTGTTTTGTTTTGGTTTTTTTTGGGTTTTGTTTTTGGGAAACGCAGCCATTTTTGTCAGCACAGAGGGATCCAAAGATCCTTTGTCAGGGTAGGACAATTAGTGCCTTATCCCAGCCCCTCCAGCTCCAGGACTGGGCACTCTGTGCTCAGGGCAGGTGTGCCTGCAGGTAAGTTTTCCTCCTCTTCCCAACAGACAGTCCTAGTCCCCTCCATGGTGTTTGTGGTGGGAATCCATCCTGATTTATTGCTTTTATCCCCAGACATTCCTTTACTTCTCCTGGTTCCATTTTTTTTTTACTTCCACGTAGCCCTAATGATGTCCTGGGGGAGAGCCAGTGCTGTGGGAAAGACAAACCCTTATTCCTTGAGAAATGCAGGCAGACAGTGCCTTACTGGTAGAGCAGGAAAAAATCCCAAATTTATGCTTGATAACATCTTTTTGAGGAAAAATATATCCATGCAGCCAGTATCTTTAGGAAGGTTTTGCCTTTCAAGCTGATCCACCAAAGTTCTGCAAAACCCTGTGGAGTGACAAAACCACTGCTGCTCTGGTTTCTGTTGATGACTTGGTTATTTAATTAAAGAAACCTTCAACATATATATATAAATAATTATTTTCTAAGGTTCCCTGTACCCTCAGTGTTATGGATCCTGGCATAATTCAGGATATTTCTGTAATATCTCTCTATTTGCCTTTTGAGAATGAATAACCAACAATTGCCTATTTTATTTTTATCTTTTTATGATTAGAAGGTGAATGTGGTCCCAGCCCAGAGTCCTCCTTTGCTGAGTGGGCAGTTGGTCGCTGCTTGTAACTGGGTAAACTGGTCACCAAGGGCAGAGCTGTCAGCCCAGATGGTTGGAGGGTGCTGTGAGCTCTGCTCTTTGTCTGGGGGCACAAACCTTGCAGAAAAACACCACAATTTCCACCCTGAGCCTTGCTCAGCCCGATCTCCAAAAGCTGACACTTAATTGCTGCGTCAGGACTTTCCCACTTATTCCAAAATAGCTTTTTTTTTTCTTTCTTTTCTTTTTTTTTTTTTTAGGAAGATGAGACATTATGCTTATTGTTTCCCCTACATGCACTAATGGTTCCTTGCTGTTAACTTATTGCTAGGCCTGTTTCATTCTAACATCTTAGTATTTTTGTTAGTTTACATGTGAAATGCATCACCCAGTCTGTGCTTGAGCTCATTTTATTTAATTGAGTTTATTTTTTTTTTTTGTTTTACTAACCTCACTGTTTTTTCAGTTTAATATTGGCTGCATGCTAGTTTATATATATATATATACATATATAAAAAAAACCCAATCAAGTCTAGCCTGGATTTTGCTCTGATTGTGTTTTGGTTTCTAGTGGTGGGGCAGTCTTGCACTTACAACTTACTCAGTATTATAAAAGCCTGACACACAAACAAAATGACTAAACACATTGTAGATTTTCTTTACAAAAAAAAATAAAAATCTTAAGTGGTGCTGTCTAGGTGATGGATATGATTGTATAAATAGCTTGATTTAATGCTTTTTACTGTCAATTTTTATTGGTACACTTTATTTTCTCCCACATTGCTTTTTTTTTATTATTATTATTATTATTACTATTATTTTTTATTTCTTTTAAACGCGATGCACAAAAGTTGCCCAGCACACCATCAGAAAGTGACCGTCCCTGATACCCATCCCCCTGGAAAAATTCTAGCCAGCAATTTTTGACATTTGTCTTTCCCTTTTATTGGGCATATATATTGCCTTTTCAGTAGCATTTTTTTGCATGCATCTCTATATGTAGAAAGATCTCTTGCTCATCACATGTTTAAATGTCAGCGGGAAGGGAAGAATATATTATTGGAATATTTTTGGTTTGTTTTCTCTGTTCTGTCTGTCAGGATAATATTGGACACCGCTTACTCCAGAAACATGGGTGGAAGCTGGGCCAGGGATTGGGAAAGTCACTGCAGGGTAAGTCCAGTCTCCCGTGTCTGAAACCTTCACCACCAGCCTTGGTCTGTAACAAAACGATCTCTGCCTTTCGTTCCTAGAGTAGATTTTCTTTCCGTTATTAATCCATCCAAACAAATGCACTCTTGAGTTTCCTGTTGAGCAGTTTGGAAGTGGAAGCTGCTGCCTGGCTTGTTGGTGCAGGTTAGACCTGGTGTGGGTGTGGGGGTGTGTGTGGTGTGAGGGTCACGGCGGAGGGAGGAGGATCAACTTCCTACGCGCTGACTGGGAGCGCTGCAGCTTCCAAACCGGGCTGATGCTCTGCTGGCTGGGTGCTTTGGGATTAAAAGAATTGAAGGTTGGAGGGAGTTTGATGATCTGGGTGCGCTCTCAGGGGTCAGAAACCGTTAGAAGGCGAGTTAAGGGCCCCCTGAAGATGGGAGGTGGTGGCAGAGGTGCTCATGGATGGGAGAGGCTCACTCCTGGTTTCTCCACTTATTTCTGTTCCCAGCATGTTGGTCATGGATTTAGCCAATCTCCTTGGGACACTGTAGTGCTGGTTGAACCACAACACCTTGTCCTCTTGCTGTCTTGCCCCTAAATTCTTCCTGTGACACTAAATCCCCTTCCTGTAGAAACCTCTGGAAGTGTTGGAAGCTCAGACTAACTGACCCATGTTCCCATACCCATAGTCTGAAGACCTGGAGGCTTGTAATTGGAGTTCCCTGAGTGAGCCCCTTAGAGATGGGTGTGTCTGTGCAGTTGGAGGACTGTGGAGAGGTAACAAACTCTGGGAATGCACATTAATCCCCTGGACTGAGGCTCTGTAACCTCTCAGGCAGGACTGTGTTGGTGGTTAATGCTTGTGGCTTCCTCTAACAGGGTTTCCTTGGAATTCCTCTGGTTAATGCATGGCACTGCAGTCCTGTCATGTCCCTGCTGGGGCCAAACCTGAGGATGGGGTTGTAGCTGTCACCTCTTGGCCTTTGGCTCCCGGGATGTAACTGGGTGTGTTTTCTCTTTTGGGTGCCCTGTTGCTCCGTGTGTCACCAGTGTGGAAACACTTGAACCAAGGTAAAGCCTCATCCCAGCCACGGGTGGATCCCAAAGCACAGCCCAGGCTGCCTGTTCCCAGCGTGCTGCTGGCACTGACGTGCACTGACGTGATGGATTGCACACAGATGATGGGCCTGGAGGTCTGGACTTGGGGCAGGAGGGCTGTGGTGTCACCTTGTCCCAGGAACAAGCACAGCAGGGCTGCCCCTGGTGGTGTCACCGTGTCCCAAGGGCCCAGCAGGAATTTGACCTTTGATACTTGTCCCCGTTTGGATGTTCCCACTGTGCCTTTCACGGCACTGAAGCTGTTCCACGTCTCTTACTCCTGTATTATTGAAGCTCTGGTGATTTGAACTGTCTGGGAGCTGCAGCCAAGTCGTGGGGATGGGCTGGGAGGGCTGTCCTGCTCCTCCTGCACGTTAATGGGAGCACAGGAGTAAAAATAACCCACCCAGTTACAACCCAGTTCAGTGCTGAAACCTTCCCAACGTAGGCTTTGGAACATGGGCAGGAATTTCATAGTGCCTTTGACCTTCTGGAAGGGGAGCAGTGCCCTATCCAGCTTCTCCAGCCCATGTCCTGGGCAGGCAGAAAAGCTGCTCCAGCTTTTCTCCCTGAGTTCTGAGCAGCCAGAGCCTGTGGCACTGGTGAGGCTCGTGTTGGGAGGGTTTTATTTCATTATCCAGTGACCTTTTTGCATGAATTGTCCCAAAAATCCAAATACAAAATGTCAGGAAGGAAACGTTTGCATCCAGTTTTAATCTTGTTCTTGGAGTCTGAAGAGCGAAGTCACTTTGATGTGTGCTGAGAATGGAGGAGCAGAACAAAAGTTCTTCCCCTCTTCCACGCTGCCTTGCTGAGGAAAGACCAGGAGAGGTTTCTGAAGAGATGTAGGAGTGTTAATGCTGTTAATTCTTCGTGGTTCATGCTGTGCTTGAACCTAGAATCTGAAACAGCCTATAGTGAGGAGGTGCAGCAGAATCAGAACAGCCTTGAGCTGTGGATGTGGTTTTTGACCTCCTGCACAAAGCCCTTGCATCAGACCCTCAAAACTTTTGGGATTACATAAATGAAACTCATATTGCAGTCATCTTTTGTCCATGCACTTTAATTAAAAAGGAAGTGCATGAGTCTGCTGATTTTTGCTATGTCACTTCTGGTTCTAGGTGTTCATCTGAACTGGGGCTCCCTCTTTAGTTCTGTGAATCCCAGAGTTATCCTGCATTACATTTGCCAGTCAGAAATGTTTGTTTCCTGTAGTCAGGCTGTTGTGGTGATGTCCAAAAAAAACTTCCAGCTGCAGGACTGTCCCCTGGGATGGCTTCCTTCATCCTAACTTCCCACTGTGGATGGAATCCTGTGGTGAGGGTGCTGAGCTGCCTCTGGGTGGGATCTGGAACAGCCTAAAATTCACAATTGCCAGTTGCTAGTGGTAAAAATGTGCTGTTTTGGTACAAAGTGGCTCATTCTCAGCTAAATTCCAGAAGCAGAGTCGTTCTGTACCTGCTGGAGCAGCTGCCTGGTGGTGTAACTCTTGTTAAGGAGAAGAGCTGAGCCACTTGGGGAAGAAAGAAACATCTGCATCCTTTATTTAATTGGAGATGTGCTGAGTGGAGCATCAGGCAGGGTGGTGCTGTCAACTGTGACCACGCCAGTGCTGCATCCCGGTTCAGAGAGATGCTCATAACAAATTCAGCAGAGTCATTCCTCTGCTCATCTCTTCTCCTGATGTTTTTCATGTTGGGTTTTTTTTTCCCCACAAACAACTCGTGTGTTATATTTGGAAATGGTGCTTCAACTTGCTAACAGGCAGTGAATGTGAAAAAGCAGAGGAGGGGGTTGCCAGCTGACAGGGATCTCTTTCATTTGGGAAAGGATGGCTTGGGGAGCCACTTTTTCCACAGGGACATGTGATGGCTGTGCTCTGACAAGTGAGAAAATGGTGACTTGCAGGCTGTTTTATCTTTGGGGGAACAGGGGCAGTTGATAATCTAGAATTTTGTGCTCTACTGGTAAAAGGAAACTAGAAGAGATGTGGTTAAAAACACTGGCTGACCTTCGTGTGAAGCCCTGTGCTAAATGAGCCCGAGGATTGTGAATAAATCAGGAGTTACATAAGTCAGGAGGGGAATGAGAGGGCTGAGTGAAATCTGAATTCAAATACTCTAATGATTTCTCTTGGAATGAGTATTTCCCATCATGTTAAAGGAGTATTATGAAAAGTCAGGAGACTGACATGCAGAAGTGGTATAATTTTAATCACACAGTTGAAAATATTTTTATAAGCTCTTCAACTTTTCCCTGTCAATTTTTTTTGACAAGTCTTGTTTAAAAAAAAAAAATTGTGCTGAAAACTTCTGGATTTGTGGTTTTTTTCCTTTTCTTTTGGACTTGTGTGTTTAATATGAGGTAATAGTATTTTAGAGGTATGTCTGGAAGACTAAACCCAGTAGTTTGATCTCATTAAATTAGATGTGGGGAAGCTGAGTAGGTTACCCTGCTGTTTCCTTGGTCATAGCCAGGGGTTGAGGAGGGTTTGGGGAGTTCAGAGAGGGCAGTAGGAGGGTTTGATGTTTACGGACCATGTGGAAGGGACTCAGAGGGAGGATTGCCCAGCTTTGGAGTTCAGGTCCACTTTAACACACTTTTGTAGATTTGCCTCTTTAAAGTTCTCTCTTAAGGAAATGTTCTTGCCTCACTGCAGCCCTGACCCTTTAAAAACATCTCCAACACCTGGACAGGAAGCAGTTAACTTTCCCTACAGCAAAAACCGTGTCCTGTATTAATTGGAGACATTTAAAAGCATAGATTTCATTCACATTCCCACAGTATTCCCAAGATGGGATTATCCTGATCTTTTGTGGTATTTCTGAGAGGTGAATCACAATCAGTGGCAACAGATAAAAAGGTTTTGTCGTGGCTGAGCTGCTCTTCAGTATTTCTGTTGTGAATCAGGTAATTCAGGTAACGTGGGGGTTTAGTGCAGAACTGGAACTGGGCCTTAAAGCCTCCTGGATAGTTTGTCCCTCAGGCACTGAGGCAGCTCATTCAGCACTTGATTATGATGGAAATGTTCAGTGCAAGTTGAGTTTGAAGGTGAGTGGCTGCTGGGCCTGGGGTTGTCTCCAGTGCTCAGGAAATAGAAGCAGCAGGTGGTTGTGTTTGGAGAAGGGACATCCTTTTAGGGGCAGGTCCTTGTGGTGGCAGCAGCTTCCCCTGCAGCCTTTGGTCCTAAAGAAATGCCTTCTGTGATTCCTTTTCCTGTTCAGTAATACCTTCCCTCATGTTTGCTTGTGTTTTTAGTAACATTTTGGCATCATTTCGGCGTAACTGTTCCGGAAGAGGTTGGATCTTCCTGGGGAGCAGCTCTGCTGATGTCATGCTGGGTGGAGAGGGCAGGGCTTGTGTCCTGGGAGCTCTCAGCAGTGCCATGTGGGAGCTGGGAACCCTTCCTGAATCCTTGTCCCCTTCGAGTCAGGCTGACAGCAATAACCCTGCACAGGATTATTGAAAGCAGTAACCCTGCACAGATTGTCAGGGCAGGGCTGTTCCTGTTGATCCAGGTGTGCTTCAAACTGACTGAATGAATTGTACAAGTGACACAGGGAGCAGCAGTTAAAAGCATTTGGGGCTTAGTTTATCCTTTCGTGGTAGGTGGCAAAGACAGGTTATCAAATCTGTTAGAAAATGCCAAAATTCAGTGCCTCCATCAAACTGTATTTTTCTTGCATGATTTTCAATTTAAAAAAAAAAACCAAACAAACCACAAGTGGATTTCTGCTCTGACTTGCAAATTCTCTGCTGATAAATATAGTCAGCACTCCCCCCCCCTCCAGTATCACTACGGTGCAGTTCTTCCTTGGCACATTCTTCACTAAATCTGTTCAGACAAGGCAAAACATCCCCTCCTGCTCCAAGGGATGATGAGCCCAGCGAAAGAGCAGAAGCGTCTGACAAGTGCTGGGAGCTGCAGAAAGAGCTGCAGGTGAAGCAGTGATCCCGTGGCTCAGGCAGGAAATATCCTCTCCCTGGCAGCCCTGGGGGATCCTCATCCTTGCCACGACGCTCCCGTCCCTTTCCAAGCCCGTTGTGCCAGGTGGCCGCGGGCACCGCACGCTGTGTTTGCCTCTTCCAGGTTCCTCAGCCCGTGGGGAGCAATAAACAGAGCTCTGACCGCTCAGGCAACTGAGCTCAGGCACAAATGTGATCGCTTGGCAGCTGCAGCTTGGAGAAATGAGCTCAGGGTTTGAATTCCAAGGCCTGGGATCCTGGCGCTGGCACCCGCTCGCCAAATGGCCCCGGCTCGGCTGCGAAGGCGCTTCCCATTTGTTGGGCCCTCTGATCCTGGGAAGCAGACGGTGGGGGTGTGTCAGGCCTGTGAACAAGGAACAATGAGCATCTGAGGGGTGTTAGGTTTCTCTCTCTGGGTTCTGGAGCTTTGTAATAAATACAGGGAAATACAGAAGAGGCGGATAAAAATATTGAACAGTGCCTTTATTCACGAGGGTGTGGAATGGCTTGGCAGTCCTGCCCAAGAAGTAGCTCTGAACGCAGTCTTATCTCCTTGTATCTTAACATATCCTCCCAGGAACCGCAAATCTGGCACGGGTGAACATTTCCATGCTTGTTTTTGCAACATAAATCACTGCAGTGGTTGTAAGAGTGGTATTTTCCTGTGAGTTAGCTTGTGAAAAACCTGAGTGCTGTGGCTTTGGAAGCTGCTATCATCACACCCATCTTCATTGCTGTGTCAGAATCCACCTCCCCACAGACCTAAAGGGAGGTTTGCTTAATGCCTCAGTGTCCTTTGGGGGAAGCAGTTGCCCCTTGTTTGCTCTTGAATGTGCAGGATCCTTCCCTTGGATTACAGGTGGTGAGTCTATGGGTTGTTTGAGTGGGTGTAGCCAGTGAAATCCGTGTGCTTCCAGTGACACGTGTTTATTGTGACACACGACCTTCTCTTGGCTCAGAATGAGCCTTTATGGCCCTTTGTGCTGGGTGATGGTGAAGCAGCTTTATTAAACTGTGAGAGGGGAGTGGGGGAAGTGAGTGGTTATGGCCATGCACAACCTGCCTCACCCCTGCAGCACAGCCTCTAAGCAGCCCTCTCCACTGACTGACATAGCACAGACAGCAACTCTTACCTCTGATTTCTGTTCTAAATCATCCCAGAATTGTGTTCTTGCTCCAACATCCTCTGTGTTGTTCTTCAGTCCATTGCTCAGTACTTGAATTAGGGATGTTTTTTGTCCCAGAGTCCACTGTGTGCCTTCTCTTGTGTGTCTGAGAAGTTTGGAGCTCCCACTGGAAGTTTTCCATGTGATTGGGGTGTTTACAGCTTGTCCTTCTCTCTTCTTTTCTCCCCTGCTTAGTGAGGATTAAATTCACAGGGCAGTTTTTGTGCTGTTGGAAAACACTTTCTCCTCTCTGGGACTCGATGTTTGCCACTGAGGATGATGGACACTTCAGACTTTGTTTGAATCTCTTGATTGTTTTGACCCCTTCCAGAAATCTGACACAAACAGGATGAGCTCACAAGTCTAATTCCCAAAGGACACCAGGATTAAAGGTTGCCCTTGTTTGTTCTTTGCTTCTCTCAGCAGTTGCAATGAGTTTGATAACGTGCTGTCATTTTTAGCCAGTGCTGAGCACCCCAGGCTTGTGCTCCAGTGAAAATTGAGGGGATTTTCTCCCCTCTCTCTTAATGATGCACTGAGTGAGGAGTTTGAATTTCCAGCGTGACAGTCCTTGGGCTGTCACAGACTCACAGGGAACCCAGCACTGCCAAGCCATGTCCCCAAATGCCACATCCACACAGCTTTTAAATCCCTCCAGGGATGATGATTCCACCACTGCCCTGGGCAGTCTGTCCCAATGCTTTACAACCCTTTCAGTGAAGAAATTTTCCATCATATCCAGCCTAAACCTCTCCTGGCACAGCTTGAGGCTGTCTCCTCATGTCCTGTCGCTTGTTCTCTGGGAGAAGAGCCTGACCCTCCCCCTCAGCTGCATCAAAACAGACCCAGGAGTGTTGAGAGCTTGGAAAATCCTGGTCTTTGAAAATGAAACTCATCCCTATCTCACACTTCTCAGGCAGTGCAGCTGCAGGTGAGTGCCCTGAACCTATGAGGGGGTTGATGTCTGACTCCAGGTTCCTGTTGCCCTTCCAGAGCCTGCAGTGGGGTTTGTGCTGACTGAACAAACCACCCTTACCCACTAGAGCAAACCCAGTGATTGATCCCAAAACTGCCCCGTGCTGCCTGCACAAAGCTGTCTTTCCACTGTATCAGGAGCAATTAAAACCCCCTGGAAGGTTGTGTCTTGCTGTGGTTGTGGTTTTGATTGTAGCATAAAGATAAGGAACAAGGAGAAATCCTCTGTGTGCCCAACCACACCACGTCCCTCTGTCTGTTGTCCTTGTCCTCTAGAGATGCTTAGATTGTGAAATTCTCCTCCAGTGAAGAGTGTGATATCAATCAGTCCTCTGGGATTAAGTCCCACAAAGCTTGTACCTGGGGGGAATTTCTATGAAGATGTCAACACAGCAAGCAGGATTAAGGCTGGGCTGTTATCTCAGTGGTGCTTACACGCTGTGAATAAGGGATGCACTGAAAGAGGTTTGACTGAATTATGTTAACAATTTTTGGGGATTCATCTTCTTTTTAGTGGGAGCATCCTGTTATTTCTGAACTTCTGTTTAACAGAGAAACTTGCCTGGTGTGATAGGACGAGGGTAGAGGTTTTAAACTAAAAAAAAAGGATGAAGTTTACATTAGATATTGGGAAGGAATAGTTCCCTGTGAGGGTGGGGACTGGCACAGGGTGCCCAGAGAAGCTGTGGCTGCCCCTGGATCCCTGGAAGTGTCCCAGGCCAGGTTGGAGCAACCTGGGCTGGTGGAAGGTGTCCCTGCCCATGGCAGGAGGTGGCACTGGGTAGTTTTTAAGGTCCCTCCCAGCCCAAACATTTCTAGAATTCTGTTCCCTGTGATGCTGAACTGGAGGGAGGAGTCCTCCTGAACCTGCAGATTGTCAAGGAAAACTCTCCTGTTTTGAGTGTTTAAAACTAAGATGAAATGTGTGCTGGTGTTGACAACACTGGTGTTTCTGGGTGGTCTCAGATGGCAGGTCCAGCATTCCCATTCCAAAGAGCAGCATCCAACCCTTGTCCAGAGCCAGAGCCTGGCCCTGAACCCACAGGGTGCAGCGGGACTCGTGTCTGACACCACAGCCCTGCAGCATTAGGATTAACTCTTTTCCCAAGATTTATTAATTCATGGAACTGAAGGTGAATTGTTTGCTCATATCCAATCACTTTGTGGAATTCAAAAGGTGGGAATTTTGAGAAGCCTACCTGGCCAGCTGCTCCCTGCCCCTGCAGGGCTCTGGGAAGGGGGTGGCTCTTGGGGTCTCTTTGGGACTGAGCAATTTTTCACAAGCTGGGAGAAAGGTTTCCCCTTTTCCTGGGGGAAGAGGAAAGCAAAAGGAGACCCAGCTGGTCATTTGGGGAGCCTCGTTTCATTTCTGAATCCAGGGAATCGTTACAAACCTGATTTACTTTGAGATTGGATTTTCTAAGGTGTGACTCTTGTGTGAACTCTGTTTTTCTCATCCCTCTGGAGGTTCCTGCTCTGTCCTTTCCACAGGGGTTTTCCCTGTGTGTGGAAGTGTTTTATGCAATAACCCTCTCTGGTCTGGGCTCTGTGCAGGGTGAGTCTGTGAAGGAGTTTGTGACCTCAGTGTTTTGGGGTGCAGGGGTCTGGGACACAGCTGGGTGTTCTGCAGGATTTATCCCGTGGGGGATTAGGTGTCCGTGTGGCACTGCTTGTGCAGCCCTGTGGTGTGGCAGGAAATGTGGGAATTCTGGGCCTTTCTGGAAAGCTTATTTTCCCCTCAGAGCATGTCAATGTACCCAAGTCAGCAGGAACCCCAAACCTGGAGGGTCCCTGATGTCCCAGAGCCACATTTATGTGCTGGGAAACACCCTGTTGCTGTGCCCAGCAGTAGGATAAATTTTCTTGAGGAAGTTCTTTCAAAGGAGAACTTAAAGAGCTAAACCAAGAAGTCCCATGTCCCCCTTTGGCTGCTGTCCATGTTCCCAGCAGGGTGAGAGGTGGCCCTGAGCGTGTCCCTGTCCCTCTTCCACTGTGGCTTTCCTTGGACACAGCACTGTACCAAGTCCAGGTGGTCAGTGTGGGGTTGGCACTGCTGCTCTGCCATGTTTGGACGTGGCACTTGTCACCTGGATGTCACACCCTGGTGTTCCATTCGTAACGAAAGGATGGTTGGGTTAAAAACAAAGACGTCGCTTTTCACGTGGAACGTCCTCCTGTTACCTGCACACAGAGCTCCTTTCGACTCACAATGTTTGTAACTCCTTAAGATCCTGATTTATTTCCTCTTTAAACTGCCTGATTCCATGTGCCTCGGTGCCCCTCTGGAAGGGGGCTGTCCCCAGGAGCTCGGCCTGTCCCCAAACACCCGAAAGGAGCCACTCCGAGTGTTCCCACTCCTGGTCCCGCAGGGCAGAGCACGGTCGTGGGGTGGAGGGGTGAGCGAGAAGCCTCCTGTTATTTTGAATTTTTTTTTTTTTTTTAACCCATCCTCCCTGCCAAACGGCCTATTTTCTGCCCCTAATGGTTTCTGCCTAACAAATGGTGTTTCTTTTTTACAGCGTTATGATCCTGGACTTGTTGTGGTGATGGTAAACTTAGCAGTGGTAATTTTTTATTTTCAGACTGAATTACTCCTTTTGTCATCAGTGCACCAATGTTAGGCTTACTTTCTCTGTTGTAGCCATCATCCTTCTGCTTGGTCTTTCATTTTCCTTTCCTTTCCTTTCTTTATGCACACTTGTCTGATCCTTGTTCATTAAAGGGTATTGCTAAGAAGGGATGTTTCTGTTTGTGTTAGAACTGCCAAAATCAGTTTAAACATAAATTTCTAATACTGTCCAAACTTGATTTTTTTTTTCCCTCCCCCCCAACACGATGGGCACTAGCACTTGCTACTGCAATTTCCAAATAGATTTTTGAATTAAAAAACAAAACAAAAAAACAACCAAAAAACTTTGACTGCCTTAGAAGGCAAAAGTACTGATGCATTGTTTGTACACAGGGGTTTACCAGGGCAATGAGGCTGCATCCAAAGATGTCCATTGCTGAAGAAACAAAAACAAACAAAAAAATGAACCAAAAAAAGCTTGAAAAACAATTGAAATAATAAATTGTTGGCACCTGGTGCCAGCTATTCCATTTGGGTTCACCACTTACCAGTAAATCCCTGGCTGAGACGTTATGAAAGTGATATTGCACTTAGGAAGTCATTTTTATAACCTGTCTTTGATTTGGTCCTTTTGCTAAAAATTGCAGTCACTGCTTACTGTATTATACCATTGGGCATGAGAGAAACCCTGTCAGACCTTGGCACCCAAAACCAAAGCTCAACCCAAAGTGTTTTGGATCAACACGATCCCTGATTTTGGACCTGATGGACACCTGCCTGTCAAATTCCTGGGCGTGTCACCAAATCCACAGAGCAGCTAATTCAGTGGATTTATTTGCTTTATTTCTGAATAAAAACCATGCCTCTGTACTTGAAGGTTCACAAGCCCCCTCTGGGGGCTGTGGCTTTGGCAGGAATTCGAGCTGATGCTGGCAAAGAGTTCCCACCTCTCCCAGGTTTTAAAGGCTTTGACCTTTTGCACGTGGAATCTTTTTGGCACGAGTGGAAGCCGTGGATCTTTTAGCCCAAAGGTATAATACCTGTGTATGTGTGTATAACAAACCAGTTGTTTACACCAACCAAGAGCAATAATAAGGGAAGTAAACCGTTCTGTTTTCTCACTCAAGGTATGCACCGGAGAAGGTAAGTACTTTGTTCAGTGGGTTACATCACAACCAACAGTGCCAGTTGTGATGTAAAAATCAAACATAATAATAATTTAAAATAATTTTTAAAAAATACAAAAAAAAAAAAAAAGCTGTGGTAGTAAAGTGCTTGTCTGCCCCATTTTGCTTTGTTTGGCTGGTTATGAGTGGATTAAAGATATGTTTTTTTTTAAATAAAAAAAAAAAAAATCTCCAGCATAGTTTGATTAGTTCAAAGTCAATTTTCTTCGCAACTAGTCCTTTTCACAGCTTACAGGTGACACAGCAGTGCCAGAGCATCTCCTGGGGGGGCAGGTGTCAACCACCTGGCCCTGGATGAAGGAAGTTTGGCATTCCTTGCTCCTGGGGAGGGACAAAAGCTGGTGGGAGGGAGGCTTCCACATCCTTTACAGGGAAGCCCTAAGTGATTATTCATGAGCTAGAGCAGCAAAACCTATTTAGCAGGCTCTTCACTCCTGTGGGAAGATGAGGAACACGTCTGGCCCCAGGTGGAAGCCGTGAGGGACACGGGGGAACCCGGACCACGAGAACGTTTTATGTGGCCGGTTCTCGTTGAACCCAAGGCATTTGTGAGCCCTGAGGGTGCAGGTTTGGCTGTAAGCTGTGAGAATGGCTTGTGTTTGGTTCACTGTAGCTTTCTGGTCTCTGCACTCCAAGGCAAGATCTCTAACCACCCAAACCCAATGTGTACACGAGCTGCGGTGCCGGGCGGCTCCTGAGGCCTCTCTGTGTGTTCCTCTTCCAGGGAGGACGGATCCCATCCCTATCGTCGTCAAGTATGATGTCATGGGCATGGGCCGCATGGAGATGGAGGTAAGGTCACCCCCAGCTGCCCCCTCAGCCCTGCATGGCTCTTGGGAACGGGGAGGGAAAGGCAAAATTAAACAATTTCAAAGGGAGAGTGTGGTGTCAAAGGTACAGAACAACTTGCTCTTAAATCGACACAGTAAGAAAACACTTCTCCTCAAAAAACACTTCTCAAACGCTTCTCCTCTCTGTTTATGGGGTCTGGATGCTCCCCAGAATCCCTGGGCTCTGATTTACCCCCCTCACCAAAGCATGGACAGGACCCTCCACCTCATGTGCATTAACGACCCGTTTTGCACAGAGGAAACGAAGCACAACGTGCAAAGGTTCTGTTTCAAACCTCATCGTTTTTAAGCTGTGCATTCTGGCAGTGGGAGTGCAAAGTATTTATGGGACAAATTGCATCTCTTCTCTTTCTTTTTTTTTCTCTTTTTTTTTTGAAATAAAAGCTTGACTACGCCGAGGATGCCACGGAGCGGAGGCGAGTGCTGGAGGTGGAGAAGGAAGACACTGAGGAGCTGAGGCAGAAATACAAGGTACAGAAAGGGGGGCATCAACATCAGAGTGTCTGTGGGCTGACTGGGAGAAGATTTGTTCTGATGGCACTGATTTCTTCTCCTTAGGCTGCAGTGATGGTGGCAGGAATGAAGTGTTCTTGGGTTCTGTCATCGTTGAGATGATTTGTATCTTAGCAAACTGGTTATTCACTTCCTGGCATTAACCTTGGTGTTTGTTTAGCTGCTGAAGAGCTCCAGGACACCAGCAGGGCTTTCTCTGTGTGCTTTGCTGCTGTTCTGGAAAAAAAACAACAGTTTTGTGGTAAGCAGGACATTTCCTTCCCTGTGCCCAGGGCTACCAGATTTTTCTAGTGAACCTGCCACGTTGTTGGTGCAAAACCTGCAGGTGTTCAAGGGGCTGGGAGGGAGGAGGGGTTGTCCTGTGAGCAGTGCGTTATTGCATAAATCCTGCTTAATTTGGAAAGGTTGGAAATGGCTCCAGCTTGGAGAAATCAAAGGGCTGTAGTTCTTTGGAAGAATTGCTCAACCAACATTAAAAAAAAAATAATAATTCTGTATTTCCATGGGGTTTACAAAACCTGGGGGGTTATTTTGTAAACCAGAGGCTGATAAAAATGAGCTGTGGTGTTGGGAGTGAGTGTGACATGCTGGAGCATTCTTGGGTTAGCTGTAACCAGGTTCTCTGTGGAGACCTGGTCTTTGCTGGTCCTTTAATCCACTTGTCCTCTTCCCAGCCCACCAGATTTTAGGAAAACCTGCTTGTTCAGTTGTCCTGAGACTGGGGAAGTACCAGGGTTGAGGAAGAACCCGAGACATCCAAATGAAGTGTCAAGAGTTGCATAAATTTTATTTCTCCGAGAAATAATGGAAAAGCAGTTTCAGTTCCATTAAAATTAAACATAACCTTGGCAAATCTAAAATTCCATTTCCCCAGCTGAACAGTTAATTCTGCAGGCAGTTTGTTCAGCTATGAAAATTTATAGCCTCGTTTCCTCTTCTATTTTTTTGAGCCCTTGACTTGCTCAGTCAGTGACTTGCAGGTGTTTGGGTGCCCGGAAGAGCTGTGAATTCCCCACACCTGGAAGTGTCCAAGGCCAGGTTGGACAGGGCTTGGATCAACCTGGGTTAGTGGAAGGTGTCCCTGCCCACAGCAGGGGGTGGAAGTGGATGGTCTTTAAGGTCCCTTCCAACCCAAACTGTTTAAAGATTTAAAGTTTGCAATTCTCTTTTCAAATGCAGCCGAATTGCTCTGAGACTCTTTTTTCTCTCCCTGCCCTTATCCAGCCCCAGACATTTTCCAGGAGCTCTGGAGCAGCAGCAGCAATCTCTCCCAGCTCCAGTGGGTTTTTATTATCATGTTTCATCCTTGCATTTTGGTATTAATCTGTGAAAAAAATCTCTGCAGTCCTTATTTTTGCGTTGCTCCACGGGAGGCCATTATGTAACTGTGCATCCTGATTAGCCAGTTAGGGAGCCTCAGAGGAGCTCGGGATAACTCTGCAGCCATAAATGTTCTTTAATTCCCTCCTTTTGTATAGATTTCTGATCAATCAAATGGCTGAGTTTCATTGTTCAGCCACAGGATGCTTGCTCAAAAAAAAAACCTACACGTGGTGCAAGAGGCTTGTTCTGGGATTGAGAGGAACGTTAAACCTCGGTGTTCTGTGGATCTCACGCTGCTCTGCTTTCCTTTCTTGTCTTCCTGGGGACCTGCTTCAGGCTCAAACCTCCACATTTGTTGATTTTTTTTTCCCCCCTTCTTAACAAGGGCATCAAGAAGGAAGCAGGGAGTTGCAATACATCTCTTTTATTTAGGAGGTGAACAGTGCTTTAAATTGAAAACAACCCCAAACATTAGCACAGGCATTTTTCAGATATTTTTTTTCACCCCCTCCTCAGGTGTTGAAATTTTTTACATAAATCTTGCATCACATAAAACATGCTCAGTAATGTTCTTCTAATGCAGTTTTGATGTGGTAACTGGGAGATAAAACATATTGCCTTGAACGAGATCCGAACTTGAAAAGAAAAAAAAAAACCTTGCACAGTTTATCTCTCTTAAATGTTTGCTGCTTCCTCTTGCTGGGCAAGGAAGCTTCCCAGGAGAAGTTTGTATTGAACATGGAAACTCTTAAACCCTTCAGTGCTTTTCCTCTAATGTTAGGCTATTTTTCTGTGTAGTTCTCTTTACTGCAGTTGAATTGCCTGTTGGAAGTGGCTATTTGGGATGTGCTGCTTTGGGATGTAGCATTTGCAGCTGGTTTTGAGTAAGAAGCAGTATGAAAGCTTCCACCTCCTCAGGGTAAACCTTCTTCCCCAGTGCTTGTGCAGAGTGGTGGTGTTTTATTAATCCTGCAGGTTTGGTTTTTCACCTATAAAAACTTTGCATTATAAGGAGACAAATCCTGTCTGCAGCCTTAAAGGTGGTCTCCTCCCCCCAGCTCCTTAAATGCAGCTGCCTGTGCCCAGTGTGATCCCTGTGTTTGGGCTCTGATGGACAGCCTTGCTCCTGGGAAGGTTTCATTGACAGGGAATCTGCTGGAGTGGCTTGGGCTCGTGGGTGTCTGAGCAGTGATTCCCAGCTGGAGCTGCGTTCCTCCCTCCTGAATTCAGGCACACAAACCAAGATCAAGCAGACAGCTGTTAGCACTCAAAATGGAGGAAGCACCAGCATTTGAAGTTGTGTTCCAAAGGCAGGAATCCTCCTCGGTTTGATGTGTGTCTGTGCATCTTACATGCTGCTGGTGTGTTTGTGGGTGAGCTCAAGGCTTTGAAGCTCTGCTTGGAGCACAGACAATCCCACAGGCTCTCCTGAGGCAGAGCTGCCTTCCCCTGTCAGCGCTGCAGGCCTTGTTTTAAATCTGTTTTAGTGATACCTGTGCTCTGACAAGGTGATACTTTGTGTAAGAAACTGGAGTCGGTGGTGTTGCCGAGTTCTGGAATCACACGTGTGAATTTGCAAAGCTCAGTAAGCTGGGCTCAGCAAGGCCAAGTGCCAGGTCCTGCTCTTGGGTCACAACAACCCCATGGAGTGCTCCTGAGTGAGGGAAGAGTGGCTGGAAAGCTGGAAAAGAACCTCGAATCCTTGGTTCAGTTTTGGGCCCCTCATGACAAGAAAGACCTTGAGGGGCTGGAGCGTGTCCAGGGAAGGGAACGGAGCTGGGAAGGGGCTGGAGCAGCAGGAGCAGCTGAGGGAGCTGGGGGGGCTCAGCCTGGAGAAAAGGAGGCTCAGGGGGGACCTTCTGGCTCTGCAATCCCTGACAGGAGGAGGGAGCCGGGGGGGGCTCGGGCTCTGCTCCCAGGGAACAGGGACAGGAGGAGAGGGAACGGCTCCAGCTGTGCCAGGGGAGGGGCAGGGGGGACATCAGCAGGAATTTCTCCCTGGAAGTGTTGGTCAGACACTGGCAGGGGCTGCCCAGGGAGGTTTGGAGTGCCCACCCCTGGAGGTGTCCAAGGCAGGCCTGGCTGTGGCACTCAGTGCTCTGGGCTGGGGGACAAGGTGGGGATGGGGCACAGGGTCTTGGGAGGTCTTTTCCAACCTGAATGAATCTGTAATAAATATAACCATCAATATACTCTTTAAGTTTTCTAAAACACCATTTCTCCTTGAAGGACTAACTCCTCATCTTGCAGTCTGTTTTGCAGGATGTTTAACAGAAGCATTTCTTTGTTAATTTTTTAGGATTATGTCGATAAAGAAAAGGCCATTGCCAAGGCTTTGGAAGACCTCAGAGCAAACTTCTACTGTGAACTCTGTGACAAGCAGTATCAGAAGCATCAGGAGTTTGACAACCACATAAACTCCTATGACCACGCTCACAAACAGGTAACCAAGTGTTGATAGCACAGCTCACCAGTCTGATGTTCATCGTGGTGGTCTTGTCTGTGGTTAATACTTGGAATTTCCCTGCTGTATCTGTTTTCCTTGTAACTCCAGGAATAGGTGTTTTATGTTGCTGGGTAAGATTTTTATACCCCCCCATACATTTTAAAAATCCAAAACAACAGGAAGAACCCCAAACCCCAATCTGTGATTGGCATCAAGGAGCCCCAGTTCTGAAAGACCCAGGGAGGCAGGAATGGGCTGCTGTTAAACTGGGAATAGAACATGTGGATATGGATGGCTCCCAGTTTGCTTTTAGCATAGTGCAGCTTTGGGGAGTGATGATACACCATGTGTGAGTATTTTGGTACTTCAGTCTGTGTTCTGTCAAGTTACTGAAAACAGACTAGGAAATAATGGGCTGTGTCAAAGGAATCCTAAAAAAGGAGCACTTCCCAAATACTGTAACCCTCAGGAGAAGGCAGATTCAGAGTCTGTGTGGAGCTGGCTTTGTTCCCAAGGTAGGGATGTGTTCACAGGGTATTTCACACTGCACAGTAAATAATAAAAGTTCATGTGTTTAGCCTGGTCTGTTTGACCACTTAAGCTGCTAAATGAGATGTAACTGCACAGCAGACAGCAGTGTTGGGCTCATCCAGAGCTGGAATGGCTCAGAGGAGGGTTTTGCTGTTCCTAGTCATAAATTCTAACAACACAGTCATTAAAATGCTGATACCTCGTGGAGGATGTGCTGCAGAGTACTAGAGCTTGCAAAAAAACAGTGCACAGCTTAAAACCAGGAATATGGCATTAGACTAAGACTTTTTTGTGTGTGGATTAAGAGTAGGAGATGATAGTATTCAAAGTAGATTCTGTAAGGGAGTCTTAACAAGAATTCTCACGGCAGGGCAGTTCGCTGTGACCAGGTTTGGTTTAGTGGAACTCAGGGCAGAAATCCCTTCATTCACTTTGTGCTGGGCAAAGGGCTGTTTTGGCACAGTCCTGACACCTGAGAGCTGTGAACTTCACCTGAAGGTTCCCATCAGCTTGGCTGAAACTCGAGTGCAATGACCTGCATTTATTCAGGAGGTGGAAGGACCTGTTTGTGTCACATTCTCAGCGTGCTGATGCAGAGTAATGATGTCAACTCCTGTTCAAACCCTCGGTGACAAATGGGGGACTGACACGAGCCTGGCAAGGCCCAGAGCTTTTCAAGCATCTGGAGATGCTGTGAAGGAAGAAACAAACCTGTGGGAGCAACCAGCCCTCATTGGTATAAAAGGAATGATCAGCAGGAGTGACCTGAGTGAAAAATGTCTGCTAGACACACAGGGTGGGGACACCTTCTCATCAGCAGGAGGAGTTTAGGGGTTGCTGATTATTTTGAGAGGAATTGTGTTCTTGGATGATTCCATCCACTGCGGTCACTTCAGGCAGGCTTTGGAGAAAATGAGCCTCCAAACTGTGGCTGCATCACCCAGCATTAATTTCCAGTTACAGAGGGATTTAGGCAAAGAAGCAATCATGCTTTGCTTAGGGAAAAAAATTGCTTATCCAGCTTTGTGTGAGGCTGAAATGTGTGTGACCCTGTTGGGTCTGTGTTCAGGGAGTGAACTTGAAACTCCAGAGACATAATGAGGGTGAATTTGCATAAGTAACATCATCTCACTGCTGTGTCCAGTCTAAATTTTAAGGTAGTTTAATTAAAAACAAGCTGTACTTTTTATATGTTGCACGTTGATGTTTCACATTTTGCCTTTTTGCACAAGAAGGAAAGGTTACAGAAAGGGGAGCACAAAGTTTTTGAGGCAAACCAGAAGGTTTTCTGTAAAGTAGGCCACTCAGTTGGCTTTCTTGGAAAGATGAGCTGTTAGAGTATCTTAGACAGTTACAGCAACCTGGCTTGGTATAATGTTATCTGCAATATTTTGTCTTTTCAGTGGTAATTTTTGAGGCAACAGAGCTCGTTTTTCCCTTTTTCTAGGCTTGATTTCCCCAGGATCATTTTTGCTTTTAAGTATTTTTAGTTCCACATCCCCTGACGTTGAAGTGTTTGCTTATCCCTCTGTGGTGCAGCGAGCCACAGGCTGTCCCTGTAAATAGATGTTCCATCCTCAGATCCCTTTCTGCTCCCCAGTTATAAAGACACTGTCTTGTATTCCAGGAAGGAACTCAGGATTATTGCCAAACAGGGATGATAGGTAAGTGTATTGATCCCAACCGGAGAAATTTTGGACCCACCAAAATTGTGCCAACACCAAACAATTAAAGGGGAGGTTTATTCTCATCTTTTCCTGACTATCCTGGTTTTTTAGAGCATTTTGGCTCCCTCTGAATCAACCTCAACACCAGGTTTCCATCCAAAAGGCAGAATTTCCTTACATGGGGAAAACAACCTTCCATTTATTCTCACAGACCTGTCTCAGTTGCTGTATTTTAACCATCCTGCTGGAGGTGTGCAATGTTGTTCTCTGGCTTTTTTTTTCCTAAATTAGTTTGATAGCTGAGATGAGAAGTGCAGCTGTTTTAAAGACCTGTAACCTTCTGGTCACCCTCTGGTCCCTCTTGGGACTAAAAGCAACTGGAGTGGGTGCAGATGGCACTGCAGGAGGGACAATAAGCTCAGTTCCCTCACAGATCCTTCATTGAGCAACTGGAAAAGTCTTTAACCATGGATCTCATAACTTCTTGTACTTTGGAAAGCTGCTGATGTCTTTAATGGTGAGGGTTTTTTAGCTGTAAGATCTTGATCTAAAGGCCTGGTAGGTTATGAAGGGTCCTGCCTCGGATGGTGAACTTCAGTCACAACTGTCAGCAGAGTAATAATTAATAATAATGTACAGAAAAAAGGTGGGAAATGTTGGAAGAAAACTTCTGCAGCTCGTGAGGAGCTGGGGTAGTGAATATGGACCCAGTGTGTATCCCTGAAGTGTCCAAGGCCAGGTTGGACAGGGCATGGAAGGTGTCCCTGCCCATGGCAGGGGTGGGACTGGATGGGCTTTAAGGTCTTTTCCAACCCAAACCAGTCTTTGATTCTGTGATTTTTTTTGTGCTTCTTTTCTGTCCTGATCCTTGGGAGCTCCCACAGTCCTGGAGCACTCTGGGCTCAGGGCATTAGATGCAAGTGGACCCTGAACTGGGTTTGGGGTTTTGACATCAAGAGAGAAACTTCCCTGTTAGGTTTGTGTGAAGATGAGGGTGGGTGCCCTTACCTGGGGCTGTACCCAGTCTGGGCATTCCTGTCAAATAAACCTGGATGTGCTGCCAGCACTTGGAGCAGCCTGCAAAAGGTGTTAGGGCTGGAATTACCTGAGGTGTCACTTTTGAACCATTTCCAGTCAGCCTTTACTGTGAGGTGGGTTTTTTTTTTTTTAACAAGCCAAGAACTTACAGAATCTCACACCCAGGCACTCCTTTCCTGCTCGTGTCCCTGCTGAGGGGTTGAGCTGTTTACTGAGTCACTGACCCAGCAGAATCAAAACATTCCCCTGTGAAAAACAAACGTGTTCCTCTGTGAACCTGTGCCAGGTCCCCTGGGAGAACATAACCAGGACTGAAATGAAGGCTTTTATGTAGTTTTTTTCCCCCCTGAAATGTGTGGTGTTTTTGGATGTGTAGATGATTAATTCTGCATGGATTCTCTTTGTTAAAGGACAAAGGGAATGTATTTCCATAAAGAAGTTCTTGGGGAAACAGGGTGGAGCTAAAAACTGAAACTATAGACCTACAGTTCTCTTTGTGCCCTAATTATCTGCATCTTTGCTTCTAATGCTGAGGGGGAGGGATCTGTTAAAGCACAACAAAATTACCAACACAGTCACTGCTGGGGTTGATGACGACTCTAAATCCAGACCCTGAATCTCCTGGTTTGGGGAGACTTGGACTTGTGCTTTCCAAAAACTTGGGCCACCAGGCACAGCTTGAGTGCAGAAGACTGAGGAGAGAATCTCTGAGGTATTTGGTGTTTCATGGGAGATTCTTCTACCTCAGAAATGCTTTATCCTCAAAAAATCCCACCAATTGACTTGTAAGGGACTCCAAAAGAGCTGGAGAGGGACTTTGGACAAGGGCCTGGAGTGACAGGCCAAGGAGGAGTGGATTTAAACTGGGAGGGAGTAGGTTTAGATTAGATATTAGGAAGGAATTGTTTGTTGTGAGGGTGGGCAGGCCCTGGCACAGGTTGCCCAAAGAAGCTGTGGCTGCCCCTGGATCCCTGGAAGTGTCCAAGGCCAGGTTGGACGGGGCTTGGAGCAACCTGGGCTGGTGGAAGGTGTCCCTGCCCGTGGCAGGGGGTGGCACTGGGTGTTTTTTAAGGTCCCTTCCAACCCAAACCATTCTGTGAAGTTTTTCTTAACCCAATTCTGGCTGTTCAGCTGCTCATTCGCTGATGGCAAACACATTTGGAGAGGAGCCCTTGGACATGGAGAATGTTCAGTAAAGCCAACCCTCAGCATACAAGGCCTGGAGTGGGATTCCAGTGTGATTCCAAGGGTTGCCAGGCTCCTGCAGGGGTCATGGGGCCATCTCTGTCACATTATCATATTTTTTCCTAAGTGGGAAGTGTGGTGTCAGAGAGGAAATTAAGATGCAATAAAGCAGCATTTGCAGGCCATTTCCTCTCTGCTCCTTTTCACTTCATTAATGAGCGTGCAAAGAATGTTGATTACCAAAGATAAGCCAGGCTTGTGTTCTCACTTGGATAAAACAATAAAGGTTGCCATCCTTGGAGCTTGTGTTTAGCTCATGGTGTCCTTAACTCCCAGAAGCTGTTGTGGCAAAGAATCAAGCAGACATCAGAAGTTCAGAAAGCCAGAAATCTGCTGGCATGGAATGAGAAGTACATTATTATTATGATGATGATTTTATTTAATGGGGATTCACAGACTTGAGAACAACAGCAGGGAAGGAGTTGGCTCTGATGCCCCAGGAGTCCTGTCTCGAGCCCTGTACGTGGATCAGGTCTGACCATCTCCTCAGTACAAGGTTTGGCAGGAAAGTCTCAGGTCTTCAGGTCTGGCTTTTGTATTGTGAGAATAACATGAGCTCCTCCTGCTCTGCAGTTTTGGGCCAGGAATGTCCCCCAGTGGGCCTCAGTTCAGTGGTGCTGCAGGGCTTTGTCACCTCAGCTGAGAAGATCCATTTACTGCTGGTTCTGAACCTGTAAAGCTCCACACCCCAGCTGGGTACTGGGGAGGTCTCACCTGAGACCACCTCACCAGCAACATCTGGTGTGTGCTGAGTTGTTTCACGGCCCTAAGCCTCTCAGGGAGTGTTTGGACAACGCTCTCAGGCACAGGGTGTGATTTTGGGGTGTCCTTTGCAGGGCCAGGAGATGGACTCGATGATCCTTGGGGGTCCCTTCCAGCTCAGGACATTCTGTGATGAATCTGTGGGTTTCCTGTTAGAACAGTTCCTGCACCCCCCCCTTTATTTCCCAGTTTTGCTGTGCCTGTGCTGAGCTCTGGAGCTTTTCAGAGATGCTGCAGGGCAGCTGGTTTAAGCTGATTTGCTGGGAATTGTAAAGTGATGGTGGCTTTTGCCAAATTGGCCCCTCCTGAGCCACTCAGGGCTCGGGAGATAATCCATCACTGTGGCCTCTTTGTGCTGGAGTGCGGACGTAGCTGCAGATTTGATAACAAACCTGCTCTTCAGGAGCTCCATTTGCACTCCTGTGGAAATGTAGAGATGATGATTTTGTTAGAAACAAGGTTGGAAACTTAAAATACTCTTCTTTGTTACAAAGCTGAGGGGGGTGGCAGCTATTAATAAAACACAGGAAGGCTGGAGGTAGTGAAGAGCTGCTTCCAGAGTGTGGAAATCTGGAGAAACTTTATATATAAAGTGCTGGTGATTTGTGTCCTGATGTGCTGGTCACTCAGTCACTGGTGTGGCCCTTTGACACCTGAAGCAATAAACCAGCAGAGTAATATTCCTTGGCTTGATTGTCCTTATCATCCTACAGCTTGCTGCTTAGATAAACCTTCTGCTTCCTCAGAAAACACACTGCCTGTGGAGCAAAAAAATGCCTCCTAATTTTGAAATCCTATAGTAGCACGGAGCCTGTGTTTGATTTAATGCAGGTTGGTGGCTCTAATCCTGTTGAAAAAAATGACAGTCTTGCTCAGCACTGTGAGAAGACTTAAAAAAGGCAGGATTCAGCCTAAAAAGGTGGTTTCCCAGGGCTCCTTTTGGAGGGGAGAAGCTGCCCAAGGATGATGGAGTGGCTGTGTTAAATCCTTGTTTAAATTTCTCTGCTGTGCTGGGGGGAAGGGGCAGTTGTGTGGCTGTCCAGCCTCCCTCACACCCGAACACGTGGTGCAATCCAGAAAGGAATTTAGAGGTTTGGGAGGATTGGAATAATGAACACTTGCCTTGGGATTAGGTGGAAATTTCTTTAGTGTAAGCCTGGCTTAAGTGTCTGTTTAGTTCAGATGACTTTCTGGGAAGGCTGAGGCCTGGAGTGTGTGAGAAGCTCCCTGTGCTCCCTTCGTGCTGGAAAATTGTGCTTCAGGCCTGGAATTGCTTCTCCCCAGTCAGGAGAAGTTCTGGCTATTTTCAGAGTTCCATTCCTGAGGTTTTTTTACAGATGAGCAGTCTGGGCTCCTGTTGTGCCCCTTTTACCTACCCCAGGGTACATATATGGAAGATAATGCAGTCCAGGCAGGTCTCTTGCAAACTTGAGGAGTCATTTCCAGTGATAGGTGCGTTGTTTTAGGTCAGTCAAAGAAGCTGAACTGTGTTACATTCCATATTTTACCTTCCCAAGGAACTGGCGTGGTGCATTTGTGGAGCTTTTCTACCTTGTACTTCCCCTGGCAAGACCCTCCTTCCTTCTGGCTCCTGTGTGACAAAAAAGAAACTCAGCCTTGAGATCTCTTAGTCCTGTGTAAAGCCAGACCAACTTTTCCCCAGTTTGAGGAGCAACAGGTTCTCAGCAGTCTCACCACCACAGCCAGTGGTTTGTCACCTGCAGGGCAGAGGTTTGGGTGCAGCTGGAGTTGCTGTGGTGGGTGTTGGGGTGTTCATTTACCTCACACCTCTGATTCCTGAGTGCTCAGAGAGGTTGGGGCTGCAAAGACACACAAAGGTCAGCATTTAAAAAAGGGCACTGAGTTCTGTTTGCACTGAAATTGCCATGTAGAGAAGGCAGGAGAGCTCGGGGGCAGCTGCATCATCCCCAACAACCCTGAACCCCCTCTGTCCCGGGAGGTGATCGGGGGCTGGAGGGAGGTTCTGAGTGCACCGTGGCACCTTCCTCTTGAAAGGAAAAGGTCACAGTTCATGTCTGGTGTAAATAGCTGGCTCGTATTTTTTTCCAAATGGATGAGTGATCTCGAGACTTGGCACCAGCCCCCATTAAATAGTTTTGTCAGCTGTTGGTGGCTGTAACTTCCCGGAGCGTTTCAGCCACGCTTTCGAAATCAGCCTGAAAAAGCCGATGGCCTTGCTTTAGTCCATCTAATTGGGGTTTGTTTGTTTGTTTTTTTTCTTTTTTTCTTTTTTTTCCTCCCTCCTGGAAAAAAAAAAATTCAACATTTAACATACACCACAAAACCCTTGAGCCCTTTACTTGTCCTGGTGAAAGTAGCTCTGCTGTTCCAGGTGGGATCATTGCTGTGTCCGTGCGTGTCCGTGTCTGTGTCCCCCCTCTCCAGACCCCCATCCTGGTCCTGTAGCTCTGCTGGCTCCGCTCCTGCTCTGTAGAGTAGCTGGCACCATACACCCACAGCTATCTAGTAATGCTTGCTTGTATTTTTTTTTATTTTTTTTTCTCCTCCTCTCTTCCACTCTTGTTATATTTTTACTTTCTTTTTTTCTTTGTGATGTGACGTTTTCAGCTGATGTATTGAAAGCAAACCCTTCTAATTTTGGAGCCCAGATCACAAGAGTGAGTTTCTTTCTACTGGTGTCTGTAGCTGTATCTTCTTTGTGTGTCTTCCCCTCTGATTTTGGTAGCACCTCAACCACATTTAGTAAATACAATTAGGTAAGAGAACCTCCTCTGTCTCGTCCAGTTTTCCCCTTTCTCACAAAGCAATGTTCTCTTTACATTGGGCCAGCTTAATTCCTCTAATTTGAGCTTTGGGTTGGTTTCCAGATCCACTGTTCCTGTGTGTGGCAGGCTGACTCTGCTCCAGGAAAGAGGCAGAGTCAGCCAGCCAGAAGTATTTAGAATTCACCAGTGCTATGTACATCCTGTACGAGAATTGTTCCAAAGTGACTCCTGCTCTGAGTCCCAGCAGTCTCTCAGGCCCTGCATGAAATGCCTGAAAAACATGAAACTTCTTTCAAAAGCTGAGTACAGGATGCAGTCTGGAATTGGGCCTTCTGAAAGGGTTTTGAATTGTGCACTCAAAAAGAACAATGAGTCCCTTTAGGCTGGTCTGTCTAAAAAGTGTTGTGAATATCCACATATATTCCAAGGAAAACCAGCAGCCTCTTCTAGTGCTCCAAGACAAGGACTTACCAAAACGTTCTGAAGTCTTGGCTGTTTATTTTCTATTAGAATTGGCTACCTGGACTTCCTCAGTGATGTCAGGGTGTTTGAAATTCCTTGGGATTGGGTTTATTCCCTCATGATAAGATTTTTGGGGAACTCAGTGCTTCTGCCCCCCCCCCCAAAGTACTCAACCCCAAGAGACCCTCCTGCATTTAGAGTAGTTTGTTTCTTGAGAGACCATCCCAGAACTACTGTCAGGAAAGCAAGTAACTGGTTGTGGTGTATGTTGTATCCTTGATTTGCTTACGGAATCATTTGCATGGGGTTTTTTGGCTCCTTCTCCAATGTAATTGGTACATTGCTTTTGTCAGATGTCACTCCTGGGTAACTCTGGCACCAGCTAATCCCTCCTGTCCTTTGGCCCATGCTCCTCAGACTCGTGTCATGCCCTGTTTGCCAAGCACCCTGCAAGAGCAGCAAATAAACAATCCTCCTTTTTTTCCCCCCCACCTTTTCCTTCCAGAACTTGCTTGTTGCTTCCAAGTGGGCTTTGTTGTCCGTGCTAAAGATAAGCAGTAATGTTGTTTGGAAGGGGATGTACACAGATGTGAAGTCCTAGCCAGAAGTGATCAGTGGTCGTGTTTTCCTTTAGCTGCTGGGAGGATGGCGCTGTGCTCCGTTGGGTTTGTTGAGCTGAGATGCTGTTGCTCCATCCTGGCTCAATAAATGTCCCTGGGGAGGGGCTTGACACCGTAATATCCAGTGCTACAGCAGAGAGATGCTCTTGGACTAAACCACAAACAGCTTTGATCTGATCTGTCCCTGCTTTCTTTTGCCTCAGAGGTTGAAAGATCTCAAGCAGAGGGAGTTCGCTCGCAATGTCTCCTCGAGGTCGCGGAAGGATGAGAGGAAGCAGGAGAAGGCTCTCCGGCGCCTGCACGAGCTGGCTGAGCAGAGGAGGCAGCCTGAGTGGTGAGTTTGGGTGGTCCCAAGCACCCTTGGAGCACCCTTGGAGCAGGGTGGAGGGCTGCAGCCTTGTGCTGTGCTGGCATTCCTGCTCCAGAATCCTGCACAGGTTCCAAAGGTGAAGCTTCACAGTAACATTTAGGCTCATGCCTAATGCGGTTTTGGTAGGAGTGAATTCACTAAACTGATAATCCAGAGCATCCCCAAAGTGCTTTATCCATCCATATGTTTTTTTCAGTTAGTTAATACTGTTAAAAACTCCAAGTGGCATAATGTTATTTTTCCATGCGTGTGGGTGCAAGAACACTTGAACTGTGTAGGACTGTCTCAGCTGAGGCATGAATCCCACTCCAGAGGCACATGGACACCAGTGAGCTGTTTTCTCTCTCTCCCCTGTTCCCACAGCGCTCCTGGAAGTGGGCCCATGTTCAGAACCACCACGGTGGCCGTGGATGAGGAAGGTGGAGATGATGACGATTCCGCGGCCAACAGCGGCTCCTTCGTCCAGACGAGTTCTGGCCAGGCTACAGAGATGACTGTGGACAGAGGCTTCCTGAACACTGGGCAGGGTGTGATGTCAAGCCAGGTGCCCTCCCAGGCAGCACAGGCCATCAGCTTTGGCATCAAGAGCTCTCTGGGGACTCCTCTGCAGAAGATCGGGGTGTCGTTTTCCTTCGCGAAGAAGACCCCGGTGAAGCTGGAGACCATCGCTTCGGTTTTCAAGGACCACGGGGAAGAGTCCAGTTCTGCAGATGGGGCAAAAGGGGATGAAAAGGGGTCTTCAGAGGCTGGCAACCTGCAGAAGTCTGGGGAGGGCGAAGGCACCAACAATTCTGATGGCAAGGAGGATGATGAGCAGCACGACAAGGACAGTGGGTCCCTGGCCAGCACCTTATCAAAACTGAAGAAGATGAGGAGAGAAGATGGACCAACGGCTGTGGAACCAGAGTACTACCACTACATCCCCCCAGCCCACTGTAAAGTGAAGCCCAATTTTCAATTCCTGCTTTTCATGAAGTCAACTGAACAAATGGAAGCTGAAAATGTGAACAAAAAAAACACAAATGAAGTGAAAAAGGGGAGTTCCCCTAAACCCAAACCCGGGAAGCACACGGAGAAAGCTGCTGAGAGCACGGCACAGCAGAAGGAGCAGAGTACTACTGAAACCACATCCCAGCAGGTCAAGACAGAGCCAAAGGACATCCAGGAGAATGAAAGTACAGAGGAGAGCAAACACCTTCCAGACAGCAACCCCCCCGAACCAGACACTGCTAAAGAAGCTGCTCCGCCTGCCTCGGGCTGCAGAGATGGCTCTGAGGGACCAAAGCACCCGACAGGACCTTTTTTCCCAGTTCTGAGTAAAGATGAGAGCACGACACTGCAGTGGCCTTCAGAGCTGCTCATATTCACCAAAGCTGAGCCCTCTGTGTCCTACAGCTGTAACCCCCTGTACTTCGACTTCAAGCTCTCCCGCAACAAAGATGCCAAAGGGAAAGGGGCAGAGAAATCCAAGGATCCAGGGGGACTTTGTAAAGACAGCGCTCAGAGCACAGAATCTGGTGAGGTGAGCAAAGCCAAGGAGGGTGACAGTGTAGGCAACAGTTCTGCTGTGAAAACAGAGAACAAATCCCAGAGCAAGCAGGAGTCTGGCCTGGGCAGCGTGGGGAAGGGAGAGGGGGAGGAGAGCAGTAAGAGCGTAACGGGGAAGAGTAAATCGGGGAGGTCCCATAAACACAAAAAGAAAAAGAAGCACAAAAAGTCCAGCAGACACAAACGCAGACACAAGGAGGAAGCTGAGGAGAAGGGCCGGAAAGCTGAGCTGGGGGAAGAGAAACCCAAGAAACGGAAAAGGCACAGGCACAAAAAAGGCAAATCCTCCCTTTCAGCAGAGTCGGACCGGGCGTTGAAACCTGAACTGTCAGAAGACTGCAGCCACTTCCAGAAGAAAAAGCGGTGCTCCCAGGAGTCCCAGAGGAAATCCCTGTCTGCCGAGGAGGGAAGCAGCGGTAAAAAAGAGGAGGGGGGTAACTCCTGCCAAGAACATGGCAGCAAGAAACACAAGGCTGACCTGCAGCAGGTCCCTGCTGCCAGGAGGCGCTGCCCGGCCGTGCCCCAGGGCCGGCCCAGCCGCCGCAGCCGGCAGAGCAGCGGCGACTACGATAGCGACGAGGGCTCCCACGGGAAGCACTGCCGGCAGAAATCCCCCTCCCAGTACAGCGACGACTACGACTCGGGCAGCGAGCACTCCCGCAGCCGCTCCCGCTCCGCCCGCAGGCACTCCTCACACAGGTCCTACTCCAGCAGCTCCGAGGCCTCCTCGGAGCACAGCCGGTACAGCCGCCGCAGGAGCTACTCCGACGACAGCTACAGCGACTACAGCGACCGCTCCCGCTGCCACTCCAAGCGCTCCCAGGACTCGGAGGACGACTCCGACTACAACAGCTCGAACCACCGCTCGAAGCGGCGCAAATACTCCTCGTCGGAAGACGACTACAGCTCGAGCAGGAGCAGGTCCAGGAGCCGGAGCAGGAGCCGAACTCACCCTCGGGGCAGGTCAAGATCGAGGAGCCGGGGCAGGACCCGCAGCAGCAGCTGCAGCCGCAGTCGGAGCAAGAGGAGGAGCCGGAGCGTGACGGGTCGGAGCTGGAAGCGGAGCCGCAGCTACAGCCGGGACCGGAGCCGCAGCACCCGGAGCCACTCGCAGAGGTCCCTGTCAAGGAAGGGCTCACGGGGCCACGAGAGCCCCGAGGAGCGAAGGTCTGGCCGGAGGGACTTCATCAGGTCCAAGATCTATCGCTCCCAATCCCCGCACTATTTCCGGACAGGCCGAGGTGAAGGATCGCTACTGAAGAAAGAGGAGGGCAAGGGAGAGGATCTGAAAGGATCTGGCTCCCTCTCCCAGAACAGCAGTGGCTCCGGCACGGGGCGGGCCTCGGAAGGGGACTGTAGTCCTGAGGAGAGAAACTCTGTCACTGCAAAGCTGCTCTTGGAAAAGGTTCAGTCCAGGAAGGTCGAGAAGAAGCCCTGTGTGGCTGACGAGGTGCTGGCGGGGGCAAACAAGGTGGGCATAAAGCTCAAAGATCCTCCCCAGGGCTACTTTGGCCCGAAACTTCCTCCTTCCTTAGGCAACAAACCGGTTCTCCCCTTAATCGGGAAGCTGCCAACGGTGCGGAAACCGAACTCCAAACGATACGAGGAGTCTGGCTTGGAGAGGGGCGAGGAGCAAGAGCTGTCGGATGCTGAGGATGGTTCCCAGGGCATGGAGGAGGGTCAGCTGGACGGGCAGTCTCTCCTGGAAGATGTGGTGATGGTCATTCAGGACAAACCCCTGGACGAGCAGAAACGCGACGAACCTGCCGTGGAGATGCCATCGATTCCCCTGGAAGCGCCGGCACTGCCCGAGTGCTTTGGCTCCGGAGATCTGGTGATGTCACACAACTTCCTCTCGGATCCGAGCGATGGTGATGGGCTGGAACCCATGGATGGGGGCAACCAGCCGGTCCCAGTGGAAACCAGCATGATGCCCTTAGTTCCAGACGTCGAGCACTTTCCTGGCTATGTGCCTCAGAGCGGCGAGCCCAGCATGGAAGGGGATCGGGAAGGGGGAGAAGATTCCTCTCTGGCCCCACTGGAGAGCCAGCCCATCACCTTCACCCCCGAGGAGATGGAGAAGTACAGCAAGCTGCAGCAGGCGGCCCAGCAGCACATCCAGCAGCAGCTCCTGGCCAAGCAGGTCAAGACCTTCCCCGCCTCGGCGGCCCTGGCGCCGGCAGCGCCCGCGCTCCAGCCCATCCACATCCAGCAGCCGGCGGCGGCCTCGGCCACGTCCATCACCACGGTGCAGCACGCCATCCTGCAGCACCACGCGGCCGCCGCCGCCGCCGCCATCGGCATCCACCCACACCCCCACCCGCAGCCCCTCGCTCAGGTCCACCACATCCCCCAGCCCCACCTGACGCCCATCTCCTTATCCCACCTGACCCACTCGATTATTCCGGGGCACCCTGCCACGTTCCTGGCCAGCCACCCCATCCACATCATTCCGGCCTCCGCCATCCACCCGGGCCCCTTCACGTTCCACCCAGTCCCTCACGCTCTCTACCCCACCCTCCTCGCCCCGAGACCCGCAGCCGCCGCCGCCGCCACCGCCTTGCACCTCCACCCCCTGCTGCACCCCATTTTCTCAGGACAGGACTTGCAGCACCCACCCAGCCACGGCACATGAAGGACAGAACGAAGGAACCTCGGAGTTTCGGGAAGGGGTTGGAGTTTGATCCAGCGGGGGGGTGAGGCCTGAGCATTTCCTTTCGCTCTTGAGCAGCCAAAGAAGCCGGAGGCTCGAGGGTTGGGCGGCAGCGTTGTCCATATCCACTCCTGGGGATGTCTCGCTCCGACACTTCCGTGCACGCCGCAGCACCTTCCAGAAGAACCATTTCACCCGCAGAGCAGCGAGACAGGCTTGGAAAGGCTTCTTTTCTTCCCCTCCGGATTCTTACACTCGGTCATCTTCCTTCTGCCGCCTTGTATATAATAAATGAGGTCTCATCCACACTAATAGGTCTCTCAAAATCCGTTTAATGAGGTCATCTAATTAAAATAGTCAGCATGATTGAATCCGCTGTGTAATTGGCGATGGAACATTCGGGAGCTGTCGGCTGCGGATCCCGGCGAGGAGGCCTCGCTTTTCAGGCCTTAAAGGAGGTTTCTCGGCTCCTGTCACTGCACATGTGGGTTTTTTCTTGGTGTGAGAAGCAAAGGTGGAAGTAAAGAGGAGAAGGAGCTGTGTGTGTGCCCGGAGCTCCCATCCTTCCCCATCCTGCATCCCTATTCTGAGCCAGGACCGCACCTGCACATCCCGGACTGGAGAGAGGTTCTCGTTGGGGTTGGGAATTCCGGTCTGGGCTTTGACCACTCTTCTCCTGGAAGGGAGGGGGAAAAAAAAGAAATCACTCTGACTTCCATCTTCTGTGGTGTTGGGAAAAAGGCACTGGGATGGGAGAGAGAAGGAAAATCCCATTAGGAATTGAAGCAAATACAGAGGACGGGGAGCACGGCCAGGGGTGTGAAGCATGTTCTTTCCTCTGTAACACTGATGGTTTCCTTATTAATTTATAGGATTTTTTTTTTTAATGTAAAGAATTGCACTGAACTCTGTAAACAAAGATGCTGCTTTTTGTAGCTCCTATCAAAGGTTACATTTGTAGTATATCGCAATAATATTTTTTACAGCCAGTTCTTAGTGGTACTTGTTCTGGTGGCTTCTGTGTAAATATGTTTGCTGTAGGTGACCCCAAGACACTTGTAAAGGTTCAATTTATAGTTTCAGCTAGATGCAGAACGAACTAAGCATGTATATTTTACCAAGCTCATGTATTTTTGAAGTTTTTATGTACTATAAAATGTAAAAAAAAAAAAAAAAAATCATTTAGAATTTTGCAGAAGGAAAAAAAAAAAAAAAACAAAACAACAAAAAACAACAGGTGAGACTTGGGCACAGTGAGGGGGTGGGGGCAGTGGTGACTCCAGCAGGTGCTGCTCTCCTCCCTACCATAGGAATGGTCACTGGAGCAGCGTGGGGAGCAGCAGGAATTCAGAGTGTTTCCCAGAGTATAGATACCCCTTTTGGTTTTTTCCCTCTTTCCTTTTCCCTCTGAAGCAGTGATGTGCACAGGCTCCTGGTGCAGGAGAGGCTTGGGACTGTTCCCACCCCACGCACAGGGTCCCACTGAGCTGGGGCTGCCTGACTTAATATTCCGTGAGGGATTTGCCAGTTCTTCCCAGCAGTGCCTGTGGGAGCTTCCCTGTCCCATCACAGGGGTTTGCTGACATGGGCACTGCAGGTGCAGGTCCCTCGTGTCACAGTGGTTGGGGCACCCTGGGGGGGCTCTGTGGGGTGGGATTTCAGAGCAGGCACCGAGAGGACGCAGTGGCATCCCTGTCCCCTTCTCCATCCTCATCCTCTTCCCTATCCCCTCCTGGAGCGTAGAGTCAAAGGATCAAACCCCCCTGAACTTCCTCACTGTGTGAACGAGAAATTGGAGCGGGTCAGAGTGACACAGGGGTCACAAAAAGGGACTCAATTTCCTGTAAATACCCAACAATTCAGTGTTACTGTCAGAGCTGAGCTTTGTAGGGCCCAACCCCATCCCGGGGTTGTTTTCGGACTTCCAGGATAGCGCTAAAAATAATTAACCTGTCATTACTTAACGAGCATAAACAGACTGTATTTAACTTTGTCACATAAGATATATATATAAATATATATATATGCTGTAAAATGAGGGAAAAAAAAACCTTTCTAATAAACCAATGATTTGTGGAAAAAAAAAAAAGATGGTGGTATGTGATGGCTTGGATCTGCTGTGTCAGGTGGCTTTCTCAAAGTATGGAAGGGGATGCTTGGGTCATACTTTTAATGGGAATATTTTGATTGTAAGAGAAAATACCTGTTCCTGTGTCATATGACAGTGGCCAGAAGCAAGGTGAGGAGGGCAGCAGCTCCTGCCCATGAGGATGGTGTGGTTTCTCCACACTCCTCCAGCAGCAACTTGTGGTGTTGGGCATCTGTCAGCCCTCGTGTCCCTTTTTTCCATCTTCCTCTTCAGCAGTTCCTGACCTGGGCTGCAGCCTTGTCCTGCAATCATGGAACTGTTTGCATTGGAAAAGCCCTCTGAGGTCATCGAGTCCAACCATCCCCCAGCACTGCCAAGGTCACCACTGACCCCTGTCCCCAGCTGCCACATCCACAGGGCTTTGAAATCCCTCCAGGGATGGGCACTCCACTCCTGCCCTGGGTAGCTGTGCCAGGGCTGGGCAAACATTTTGGGGAAGAAGTTTTCCCTTGTATCCAACCTAAATCTCCCTTGAGACCATTCCCTCTCCTCCTGTCCCTGTTCTCTGGGAGCAGAGCCCGACCCCCCCCGGCTCCCCCCTCCTGTCAGGGAGTTGCAGAGCCAGAAGGTCCCCCCTGAGCCTCCTTTTCTCCAGGCTGAGCCCACGGGGTCCCTCCATCCCAGGCTGTGCTGCTGTTCCTCCAGCCTGGGCGAGTGTCAGAACTGTTTAGAGCTCAGGGGGAGGAGCACCTGCCTCTCCTTTCCTAAATAAACTCCTGGTTTGGTTAAAGGAAAAAAAACCAAACCCCACTAAATCCTGCCAGGGTGGGGGCACAGGGTGCCACCTGCCACTGCCTGCCTGTCCTTCGGGTGGCCCTGGCCGGGGTTTCATGAGTGATGGTGCAGGAATGCTGCAAGGAACAGGGAAATAAGGAATTAAACGGGAGAAGGAATCACAGTGGCCTTGAAGGGGCCTGGTGTGGGTTCCAGCTGGGTTTGGATGCTGCTGCCAGTGGGGGATGAGACCACCTGAGGAGGAGCAGCTGCCCCTGAGCCCACTGTCCTGCTCTGCCGGGGCACAGAGCCGAGCTGGGCTCAGCTAAACCCTTCCCACCCCTCGGAGCTCTGCTCCAGCTGTTTCCCAACTGCAGCTGCTCCAAAGGGCTGGAGCATTCTGGGCTCTGGGGCTGTTTCCCCCCTCAGAGTCCACGGTGCCGTTTGGGGCACTGTGGTGGCCTCCCTGTGCCCTCCAGGACCCCCTGGCCCCTCTGTCCTGCTTCCCACCTGCAGCTTCAGGGATGGAAAGGAAGTTGGACAGGTGGGGCTGGATCACAGGGAGATGCTCCAGGGCCTGTCCCTGCCACCGGCTCTGGGTGGGCATGAGGAGCCCTCGGAGCCCCGAGGCACCCTGAGGGTCCTTAATTAATTGCGTTTAAATTAATTGTGCAGGTGGGTTCAGGGGCTCAGCCACTGTCCGGGCAGGGCTGAGCCCCCACAGCTGCCCCAGGCCTGGCTTGGCTGAGGGGCACCAGCTCCTCCACGGGGGACAGGACCCACCCTTGTTCTCTTGGCTGTGGGTTGTGCCCCCACCTGGCACCCATCCCCTTCCCAGAGCCATTTCCCTGTGCTGCCTGGCTCCTCGGGAGGGTTTTGGGGTGTCCCTACCCCGGGGAAGGAGGGGAAACAGTTTGTGGGCAATGCTCAGTGCTGGTGGGGCCAGTGCTGTCTGCTCCATCCGGCTGTGGAGGGGACACTGGGGACAATGCAGGGGCCCCGTGCCCTGCTGTCCTCCCCCCTCCCCGCCGCGTTTCCGCTGGCCAGGGCTGCCTGCACCCCGAAATAGCCACCCCCCGAGACCGGCACCCCAGGGCGGGCTGGATTCGGCCGCCGGCGGAAGGCTGGTGGTGGGCGCTGCGCTGCCCCCCGCCCATGGCCCTGTCCCCACAGCCCTCCCAGTGTCCCCCGGTGGCACTGCCACCCCCTGCCCCCACCCTGCTCCGACCCAGCGCGTCCCCCCCACACCCCCTGGCTCCCTCAGGAACGGATGTGCGTTCGGGGGGGCCCTTCCTGTGCCCCCCACCACGGCTGTCCCGGCCCCGACTGCGTCCTCCGAGATAAGCCGGGACCGCCCCGGGACGTGCCGGGGCTGCGGCCACATTTCGGGGTGGCCATGGGGCTGCTGCGGGCGCTGCTGCTCCTCGGGGGGCTGCACCTGCCCCCCACCCTGGGGCTTCTCCAGGAACCCCCCAGCGAGTACGCGGGACCCCCCGGCAGCTATTTCGGCTTCGCCCTGGATTTCCTCATGGAGGAGGGCAGGTAAGAACACCCAGGGGGCCGGGATCGGGCACGGCCACCCCCGCAGGTGACACTCCCTCTGCCCCCCAGGCCCAGCGTGGCTGTGGGGGCTCCCCGTGCCAACACCTCCCAGCCCGGCGTGGCTCAGCCCGGTGCCGTCTTCCTCTGCTCCTGGCCCCCCGGCGAGACCCCCTGCCGCCCCCTCCCCATCGACACCGCGGGTACGTGGGCGCCGTGTGGTGCTGGGCGGGCACAGGGTGGGTGCCGCACCCGCAAAATCCCCCTCTCCCGCTCCCCCAGGGGACGAGACCGAGACCCAGGGCACCTTGGAATTCCACACCTACAAGTCGCACCAGTGGCTGGGCGCGTCCGTCACCAGCTGGGACGGCAAACTGGTGGTGGGTGCAGCCGGCGTGGGGCGAGGAGGGGTGAGTGGGCTGGGCACCCGTGGGTGGTGACCCGCGGGGTGGGCACCCACCCTGTGCCATGCCCGCGCCCCTGCCCAGGCCTGCGCCCCGCTGCAGCACTGGAACGCGGTGGACGGGCCGGACGAGGCGTTCCGGACCCCGACGGGCACCTGCTTCGTGGCGACCCCGGGGCTGCGGCGCGTGGTGTGGTACTCGCCCTGCCGGGACCAGTCGATGGCCAACACCTACCGCCAGAGCAACTACGGTGACGGGGGGCTCGGAGGGGCTCGGGGCGGGGGGTGCCCCCCACCCCGTGTCGGTCTGACCCTGCCCTGTGCCCGCAGAGCATGACAAGCGCTACTGCGAGATCGGCTTCAGCGCCGCCGTCACCCCGGTGAGAGGGGGCTCGGGGGGTTCGTAGGGGTTCGGGGAAACTCGGGAGGGGTGGGAGACAGCGTGCCCGGAGAGCCCCTCGGGATTCCCATGGGGATGCTGCCAGGGATGCAGAGAATGGTACCGGAGTGAGGGTGTCAGGGTGGCTGATGCTGGAGTGGTAATTCCAGGGGGAAGGGCCCCAGGATGGGGATGAGAGGGTGGGGGATACTGGATGGGGGTGCCAGGAGGAGGGAAAAGAGTGTGGGGGTGTTTGGGAGGAGGTGCTGGGGTGGAGGATGCTTGAGTGGGGATGCCAGGATAAAGGATGCTGAGGTGGGGGTGCTGGGGTGGAGGTGCCAGGATAAGGGATGCTTGGGCGGGATGCCAGGGTGGGGGTGCCCCAGGGAGGTGCTAAGGCCAGCTTCTCCTGCAGGACGGCACGCTGGTGCTGGGTGCCCCCGGCGGGTATTACTTCACGGGTGAGTCTTTCCTGCCGGGCTGGTGCTCCCGGAGTGCTCCCCTTCGGGTGGGCACGGCGGGAGGAGGGCACCCAGGATGGGCCACCCCCTCAGTGGCACTGGCAGCCCAGGGCGTGTGGCAGCGGGTGCCCCCCCAGCGCTGGTGTCCACCCATCCCGGTGTCCCGCAGGGCTCCTGTACTCGGTGGAGGTGAACACCATCCTCAGCCGCTTCCACGGCACGTCGCTGCTCTGGCTCGGAACCCCGGGGCGCCCCACGGTGCCCGTGTCCCTGGAATACGAGGACGGGTACCGGGGTGAGCGGCGGGCACGGGCACCCCGCCCCACAGCCGTCTCCGGCCGAGGCTCCCCGGGCTCACTGGTGCCCCTCTCCCTGCAGGGTACTCGGTGGCTGTGGGCGAGTTCGATGGCGACCCCAGAACCAAAGGTAGGGCTTGGGGGTGGGGGCAGGACCACCTGCGAGGTGGGGGTGATGGGCCCGGGACACCCCGGGGAGACCTCCCCTCCCAGGGGTGCTGGACAGAGGGTGTGCCAGGTCACAACCTTTGTCCTGTCTCTGTGCCCTCATACCCTGCCAGGGGTACCCCTCTGCCCACCCCTGTGCTGGGGATATCCGTGCCCACTCCCGTGTCACAGTTATCCCTGTGCCCACCCCAGTGCCAGGGGAATCCCCATGGACCCCCCTGATGCCCCAGTGGGGTCACTCATGGCTCTCATCCCTCACAGAGTACGCCGTGGGGGTCCCCAACAAGAGAGACACAAAGGGTGAGGTGAGTGCTGGGGTGGTGCCCTGTGCCACCTGGGGGGGTCACCATCGTGTGGCCCCCCGGCCTGGGGTCTGACGCTGCCCTGGGCAGGTGGAGATCTTCACTGCGGGGAACACCCTGCGCCGGCTGCGGGGCATCGACAGCGAGCAGGTACCCCCACCCTGTGCCACCCTCAGCGCCCCCCGGGGCTCCACGGCACCCCTGCACTCCTCCCCACATCCCCCAGCTGCTCCCCCATGCCCCCCGCCCATCACCTAGTGCACCCCACGGTGCCCTCGGCACTCTCCCGGTGCTACCCCCCGCCTGGACCCTTTCCAGGTGGCATCGTACTTCGGGCACACGGTGGCCGTGGCCGACGTCAACGGGGACGGGTGAGAGCCGGGACTGTCCCCCCCCAGTCCCCCACGGGGACACCCAGGGGTGCCGCCCCGCGCCTGGCACACCCCTGGGTGCCCCCACCCCCCAAACCTGAGGATCCTCACCCTGACCCCTCGCCGGGCACAGGCGGGACGACCTGCTGGTGGGTGCCCCCCTGTACATGGCCCGGCGCCCCGACGGGCAGCGCAGCGAACTGGGGCGGCTCTACCTCTACCTGGGCGGGGGGCACCAGCTCCTCTCCCGACCCCCCCAGACCCTGACGGGCACCCACCCCTACGGCCGCTTCGCCGCCGCCATCGCCAGC